TGATGCATGTAGATTACGAAGTGGTTAAGTCATAATTTTAAACACGTTATACTACAATTTCATTTACATTGTATCGTAATTGACACGAATTCACTTTATGCTTATTTTTTAAGGATTGAGCTGCTCTTTCAAATATGAATGTGAGAGGTTCATGGGATCTATCATGGGACTCGTTTAGATAATTTGAACTGTCTATTTTATAAGATCTTTTGTGTATATCATCCATGAAAAAAAAATTATATTTATTTGATAATTGTAGTTTCTTCCATTTTATTATGTTTGTCTTAAAAAAATTGATAGTTCATTCTCAAAATCATATTTGATGTTTATTTTTTATGAGGGTAAATTACATTGGTAATCCTTGTACTTTGCCTCTTATGTCATTTTGGTGTTCATAATTTCAATTAACTCGATTTTGACCCTTAATTTTAGTTTTGATGTTAATTTAGTCCAATGAATAATGTCAATTAGGATTTTTGAAGAAAAGTAGTCAATAAGTTAATTGAAGTTAATTTATATCTGAAATATATATTAGTGTAAAAGTTAGTTTTAAATTAATCTAATTCAATCACTAACAAAGACATTATTCAGAATAATAATTTTGTGGGTGTTCAATATTTGTTGTTTATAAATTATTTTAATTAGGATTCAATATGATAATTATTCTTACTAAATATCTAAGTTAAAAAAATCTTTGTGTATCAATTTTAAGAAACACACACAAAGACACACACAAAAAAAAAAAAAGAAAAAAGAATCAAACCTTGCAGATTTTTGGTGGCAACTTTCCACATGTTTAATTGCATATTAGTATAGGGAATGAGAGCCCCTTTATGCCTCTTGGAAATGGGAAGGTTGGATAGAATGAAGAGAAAGAGGGAAAAAAAGAAAGAGAGAGAGAGAGAGAGAGAGAGGGTGCCCAGCAAAAGAATCCATGCATTGTATATATATACATGCATGCTTGCATTTGGTAAAGGAGGGAAGAAAAGAAAATTCCGTGAGCAACAAAGCAGTAGGAGAAGAAGAAGAGTGGGAGATTAAGGAAGCTAAAATTTTCTACCATTTCATCACCCTATTATTAAGTAAAAAAACCCTCTCAACCCTCTTATTTTTTTTAATTGTTGAAATTTTCAGATTATATTCATATGATAAAATGACTAATTTATAGATAGAAATTTTTATATATGTATGTAAATTTTGTGATGTGCATATCAAATATTTGAAAATATTGATAGTTTTAAAGTTATGGTATTATTGTGAAAATAGGCTTGCATGTGTAGTTTATACCATTAAAAGAGAGGATTGAAGAATTTATTTGGTCCTTGAATCTGTCAAAAAATTTGTATGAATTTTTAGACAATTTTATACTCAAAATTTAAAGATTATTTCTTCTAAAAAATTGTTTATAATGATGTCTACTTCATCCATGAATTTTTGTAACAATTATGGAGTTTTGTACGAATTTATACGGATTTTTAACCAAATCTGGAGCTATAGGTAGATTTTACTATGTGTTTGAAAAATCATTAAAATTTTTATATGAAACCAAATCTGGTACTTTCTAAGCAAAAAAATGAAATTTGAGAAGTCTAGTTTCATAATAAATTTTTAGATTATGAAATCGATTTATAAATTTAAATATGGAATTAATTTAAGAAAATGTGATAAGTCTGTGTCATAAATTTTCTTAGAATTTTTTAGAATTATTTATAATTTATTTTTGGAAAATTCTTTCTGAAAAATGACCATAACATGTTTATTGAGTATTCTGTAGATTTATATGAATTTTAGAAGTGTATAAGTAATTTATTTATAATTTTAATTACGATTTATGCATTCTGAAAATTTTGGCAGATTAAGGAGGAATAAAAAATTATCTCTTCAATTGTTTATTTGGAAAAAAATTTAATATTGTGCTAATCTAATCTTGTAGATTAAAAATCCATGCCTGTGTGATTATGATTTGTTTCTTCTTTTTGGTATTTACATTATTATTTCATACCATGGTTTAAATAAATTGTTTATTTAAATTTTGTACATTTGTTTACTATTGTGACACATGTAATATTTTATGTTGGAAATTTTAATGAGTTGGTATAACATTTTTAGTAATTAAATGTTGAATTATTGTGAATATCTCAACAAGTAAAGAAACACGAAATTTAACCAATGATACATTAAAATTTAAAAGTGATGGGGTGAGCCCAGTTTAGAATCTCGCGCAAGTGAGTTGCGAACTCTAACATGGCACGGGAAGGTATTTCAGCTCTTATCGGTGTAAGCAATATAAGGTTGGTGGTGCGGGTGTCACAACATAGACCGTTCCCTTGGGGCAGACCGTAATGGCACGATTCGGGTATGTAACCTTAGTGCGTGGACATTATTAGCAGTTACAGTAAATAACATTTGAACATTTGACCAAGGGGGAGTCAGAATTGCCCGTGGCCATTGCTTAGCGGTTGAGTGGAAATAGTGTTCCACGAGGAGTTGCTTAAATTTATCTGATAAACTAAATTTATGAAACTTTAAAAAGAAAGATGGGCATATTCCTTATAATGAAATACTGCTTCCGTTTGTTATATTTTTTTTATTTGATTTATTATTATCTATTGTTATTATTTCAACTGATAACATTCCCTTTATGTTTACTAAATGTTACTTATTATTTTGTTATTACATATTATTCATAAATTGTAAGTATTATTATTGGGGTGGATATTTTCGGATTGTAGTATCTTATTGAGCTTGTCGCTCACTGGCTTTCCCGTTATCCTGGCGTTTCATGCCAGGTATCGAAGAAACCGAAGGAAACACCGAAGCCTTGCAAGGCGACACTCAGCCTTGGTTAGCTTGAAGAGTGCCCAAGATCCATGAACCATTTTTCTAAGTTTCTAAGTTTTTTTATTTTTTTTATGTTATATTCGTATTATTTTTATGTACTAAGACTAAGTTTTAAGTTTTTATTAGAGTTGTAATTTAAGAACTTTTAATTTCTGGGTTATTAATTAATGCTAGTAATATTGGTGGCAACATTGATGATGGGTTAATTATTAACAAAATTGATTTCAAGTTCTAAATTTTATTATGATGTACTGAAATCTTGAGACGTTACAAAAATAATGTTAAAGATATTAAAATTTTTGTAAAGTATTTTTTTAAATATCTTCCGTAAGTGTGAGCGTGAAATTTTTGATCAAATATTTAATAAATTTTTTTCAAGCCGTAGCATTTTCTCTTCGAATAATAAAATAAGATGACATTTGCTACCACATTCTTCATAATGCCACATAATGCCACATTCTTTTTCTCATGCACGTTGCACCGATGAGATATATTCATAAAGGAAAAGTTTATCTTTTTCTTTTATTAATTGTATTTTGACCCTAAATAATTATAATAATTATGCTATAAAATTACAAAATAAATTGTATATTAACCAATTATGAGTAAATAATATTAATAAACGAAAAGATAAAATGGCAAAAATGTCATTTAATATTTTAATTTTGTCACACACTCAATTTAGTACGTGCATAATACACAGGCCGACCCTGAGATTTAGGGGGCTTAAGACAAATTTTAAAAATGGGACTCCTCTTACATTGAAAAAAAAAATTCATGAATAAAACGATAAGTTACAATTTTTTTATTTGTTTGTAATTATAAAAAAATTTACTTGCATATATAATCATTAAAATTATAAAAAAAACAATTTAATGAAACAAAATTAGGACAAAAAAATTAAGAAAAAATTATTCAATTAAAACTGATAATGACCTAGGTAAAAAAATTAGGGCAAAATTATGTATTCCACTAAAATCTAATAGATAAAGAAGGTAAAAAAAAAAAGTAGGACCCATATATTGTATGTATTGTTCTTTTTGGGGCCAAACACTTTTTTTTAATATTTATTTTCATTTTAATAAATATGGGTCAAACTACACTTATAAATAAATATAAGCTAAACTATACATGGACCAATAAAATATTTTAGGGCCTTTTAAATTGATCCTAAAACAAAATGAAAAAATTGGGTCTATAACATTTTACTAAGGGATTATTTGGAATTATCTAAATAAGTGCACTTTTTGTCTTTTTACGAAAAGATATACAGAAAAGTAGAGAGGTGATGTGATAGAAAAAAGATAAAAAAATAAAACGATGGATTATTTTTGGATTGCCAAACTTGGCCTAAATTTGGAGGCCTTATTTTTGGGCAAAAATTTTGGGACCTAAGGCATCGGCCTTACTGACCATAGGCCAGGGCCGGTCCTAATAATACACCCTGTTAATTTTAATAGAATCTATTAATTTTACATCTCACTCCAAACCATAAGAGATCTATATGTACATTTTTAAATAGGATAAATTACAAATATATTTCTTGAGATTTGCTTAAAATACAAATTATTCTCTGTGGTTTAGAAAATTATAAATATCTCCCTGTCAAAATTTTTTATTTAAGAGAATTAATTAAAAAAGTGAAATTTCTAACTGTTCACTTATATAATAATAAAATTATTTAAATTATTAATTGAGATAAAATTATAAAATTATAAATTAATTTGATAATTTATTAATAAAATAATCTACTTATTATGAAACTAAAAACTTTAAGAGATGTAATATAATTTTTAAAATTATAAAAATAATTTATAATTTAGATAAATTTTAGGGGTGAATAAAAGAGAAAATATAAAAAAATATGAATTAATTAATATAATTATATTTTACTTATATTTTATATAATTTTTTTTAGTCATAAATTTTTATTTAAACAACAATGATAGAGGGCCCTAATTTCTGTGACTCAAATGGTTCGAATTTGTCAAAACGACGTCGTTTTGAGTACAGAACAACATAAAAATGGCCAAAACGACATCGTTTTGGCCATTTGAGCCACTTTTGAGCCACAAAATTTAAGTTACGAGACATTTTCCTATTTTTTTACACATATTTTTTCAAAAAATATACTGTATTAATAATCACACAGCACTATCAAAAGCGAACAACCGCTTCAAATTGAAGTTTACACTTCAAGGCAGACTCTCTCTCGATCTCTGTTCTTCTTCTTCTTCTTCAAACCCTCGTCAAGTCAATCAACCTCTCTTCCTCCGATCACCGCCGCAAAAATGTCGTCGACCACCGCCGAAGACAATCTCCAAGAGAATCCTCTCTTAAAAGACTTCTATTTCCCACCCTTCGATGCCATCGAGGCCAAGCACGTTCGCCCCGGGATTCGCGCCTTGCTCAAGAAACTCGTATGTATATATCTCTATGTGTATCGATTCGGTGTGTTTTGGTGATTAATTTTTGTTTTGGTAGGAGAGTGAATTGATTGAATTGGAGAAGACTGTGGAACCGACATGGCCGAAACTGGTTGATCCGCTGGAGAAGATTATTGATCGATTGACTGTGGTTTGGGGGGCTGTTAATCATCTCAAGTCGGTTAAAGATACTCCTGAACTCCGTTCTGCCATTGAAGAAGTTCAGGTACTGTTCTTCGTTTGGGAAGTTAGTTTGTTTTAGTAGGTAGTTTTAGTTTTTAACTATTTTAGTAGGTTAAAATAATCGTTTTTAGGGAGAGGTTGGATTTTTTTAAGTTATATATGATGTTTGTAAAAAAAAATAAATTATGAATTTGAAATTATATTTTGTCTTCATGATTATTTTAGTTTATTTTGTCTTTTAATGCAATTTCAGCCAAAAAGTTCAGAAAGCTTCTTCCCAAACACCCCTTAAATATTGAAGTAAACAATGATCTTTTTAGATTTACATTTTAGGTGTTTTGGGAACTCGGCAGAGTGCTAGTTTCCGACTTTTTAACCTATTTTGAGTTATATAACCTCTTTATTTTTTTATACGCTTTTGCAAAAAAATTAAAAAGCTAATTTTTAACCAACTTCTCCAAACCTTTGCTGTTTCAATTAAAAGCTGATTTTTTTTGGAAATTATTATGGTGCCTTATAATATTTTGATTTGCAGCCGGAGAAAGTTGAGTTTGAACTTAAATTGGGGCAGAGTAAAGCAGTTTATAATGCATTTAAAGCAATTGGAGAATCTTCTGACTGGGAAGCACTGAGTGATGCTCGTAAACGTATAGTTGAATGTAAGTATCAAATTCTGTACTTGTTTGTTATTATTATTATTATTAGAAGGTGTGCACACCCATTTGGGGTGTGCGTGTGCTTGAAATCTACAGTTACAGATTGACAGTTACAAATAACTACAAATAACCCATGAGTGTGTTTGATTAAGTTTTAACTTTTTTTTAATTTAATTTTCTGAATTATTAGTTTGATGAATTACTATAGATATGTGTCTAAATTCAACACTTACAGAAGAAGGGTAATTTAGGAATAAGAAAATCTGTGACAAAAGGGTTCATACCAAGAACCTTGTACGCTTCATATAATAGTATAGAATAGATAGTATAGATTATGCGTTTCCCTTTATTTTTATGTACATCTTTAATTTTCGAACTTTCTGCATCATTACACATGGGATATAGTCAATACTTTTGATTTATCTGAATCTTTTCTTTGTCCTAGTTTGTATTGTGTTTGGTTTGGTATTAAACCATCAGCTCTTACACTGTTTGGTTGGGGAATTTGGAAAGGGATTGAGAAAGAGAAAGGGAAAAGGGAGGTAAAATGTGAATAAAATGTACCTACATTTTACCTAGTTTAACACACCTATCATTTTTTCTTTCCAAATTCCTCAACCAAACTCAGTCTTTTTACAAGGAAAAACCAATTCTCTGGTTTGAGTGCTGGATTTTTAGCAAGTCCCATAGGAATCACATGTAAATCACTGGGATGGGGGACACAAAAGAAAGGTGAGGAGAAGAAAAGAACTATAAGTTAAAATTCAAGAGATAATTGATTTTTTTTTGTTTTTATCCTTCTTATTGGTCCATGCCAGATCAAGTAATAATTTGTGATTAGCACGGTCATGATAAATGTTTTAAAAACCTTGTTTAGCATGTTTCACAAAGCCATGATACTTCTCTGTTTTCTGATTTTATCATATGCTTCATTGCTGCCATTGGCCACAACTGGAAGGGTCCTGCTTATGAAGATCACCTGTGTACCAGTTGCCAAGTTCCTCTAAATAAAATGTTATAGTAACCCATCTTATGGATAATGATGTGGTAGAATGACCACCTTGCGTCTCTTTCTGCCTGAATATGCTAATGCAATTGCAGGCCTGAAAAGAATGGTTTGATTGGTTGTGGATTTTTCCACAATATGTTATTGTTTTGTGAATCAATTGATAAATATTTTGTAGAGACTGGTTTCTTGCTCATAATGGGTGCAACTTTTGAAGATCTGTAGAGGCACAACAATTTAGCCTGTATGGTTTTTCTGGATCCTGTATATTTTCTGTTCATGAATGCGCCCGATATGTTGGTTGATAATGCAATTAATAGCCATGTAAAGCTTCTATGTGGATGTAGCTCAAGAAAGTACTTAGTTGCAGGAATCGTGCAACTAGGTTGCAATTCTACGAGTAAGAATCGCGATTCCGCGATTCCTAAAAAGAAACGTGTAAGAATCGCGTTTCTGTGGAGAGAGAAACGCGATTCAGGCCAAGATGGGATCGTAAAGGGGAGAGAGAGAGAGAGAGAGAGAGAAAGAGAGAAAGAAACCCAAGCCTTCGATGTTGACATGAGAGGAGAAAGACGAAGGGTTGTTGAGAGAACTTATAGTGGACCAGTGTTGAGATTAGGGCTTTGATTGCCTTCGTCACTCTCTTCTCTCACTATTGATCACGATTGCCTTCGTCTCTGAGGGCTTCGATCATCTTCATCACTCTCTTGATCGTCTTCGTCTCTCTCTCTTCATCTCTGTGCTTCTCTCTCTCTCTTCGTCTCTGCTTCTCTCCCTCTTCATCTCTGTTCGTTGTTCTCTTCACTCTCACTCTTCGTCTCTATGTTTAATTGATCACATATAATATTTTAGATATTTCTTATCAACCATTCTTAATAAAGATGTAATATCACCATCTTGCCTTTTTTCTTTTTTAGATATTTCTTATCAACCATTCTTAATAAAGATGTAATATCACCATCTTGCCTTTTTTCTTTTTTAGATATTTCTTATCAACCATTCTTAATAAAGATGTAATATCACCATCTTGCCTTTTTTCTTTTTTAGATATTTCTTATCAACCATTCTTAATAAAGATGTAATATCACCATCTTGCCTTTTTTCTTTTTTAGATATTTCTTATCAACCATTCTTAATAAAGATGTAATATCACCATCTTGCCTTTTTTCTTTTTTAGATATTTCTTATCAACCATTCTTAATAAAGATGTAATATCACCATCTTGCCTTTTTTCTTTTTTAGATATTTCTTATCAGCCATTCTTAATAAAGATAGTAACCAAATAGACAAATTATTAATTTTCAAACTAATAATAATTAACAACAATGCTGATATTTGGACAATAAGCATGTATACTTTTCTAAGTAACAGTGAGCAAATAATAAGAAGGAATTATTTAGAATCTTTTATTTTAAAGCCTAAAATATTTTAAAAAGTATAACTAACCTCACACATGTAATATTCAATTTAATAAAATAGTAATAGATAATTTATAGTGTAACTTTAATCTTAAACATCTTTATAACATAAATTATGATTTTTTAAAAGAAAAAAAAATGAGAAGAAAGGTTAAAAATATGTTGGGTCTGATTGAATCCGATTGGATCCTATTGAAAACTCCATGATCGCTAAAATAACAATAAACCATGTATATATGTTGGTTATTTTGGTATTAAACGCTATTAAAAGTTGTATTTTGCCATTTTCACTAAAAAGATGGAGAAAAAAAGAGTCGAAAATATGTCGGACACAGTAATTTCAAAAGTTGCATAAATCGTAAAAAGTGAATCGAATCGTGAATCAATTGTGAATCGTGCGATTCATTAGAGATTCACTTCCAAAATAAATTCACCAATAGATTCGTATCGATTTTGCAAAAATTGCGAATCGAATCGTGAATCGTAAGATTCTGATAACAGAGTTTATAATATATATCAATTAAAAATAAAAAAATAAATTAACAATAATACATTATTTAAAAAATATAATAAATAAATAAAATAATTAATGTATATTAAAATAAAAATATTTATAAAAAAACTTCTAATGTGCATTAATATATATATATATATATATATTACCACTTCCTGAGACGCTCCCAACCTAAGAAACTTCTATCGGCTCACGATTCCTCGCTCCCGCTCCCGCTTCCGCTTCGTGCTACTAAGAGAAAGTATGACAAACCCATGAACTTCATTCATCAATTTAACATTTTATATTTTTTTTAAAAAAAGGTCTATATCAGATCATCTATAACACACGAGAGAGAGAGAGAGAGAGAGAGAGAGATATGCTGTAATAAAAGATTTTGGCTGCTTCTTGACTTATGGTAGAAACCTCATTATATTATGTATTCTATAAGTATAATGCAGTAGGAGGGAGGGAAGGGACCTCATTTAATGCTTTTAATTGTAACTTATATTTATTTTTTTTTGGAATAGAAACTTCTGCACATGCATCAATGGAAAGAGCTTTTCCTTGTACATTTTTTGGTGCGTTGGTAGCTTCCCCCTCCTAGCTTTACTTCTAAAGTTTTCATTGAAGTATAAGGAAATGACTTCCTATTGCAATTAAACTCCCTTGAGCTATTTCTTGTAGTAAGGAGTTGCACCTTTTGCAAGATACATCCTGTTATTCCTGTGCATTGTGTGATTATATTTTGAACTAATGTTGCGTGAAATTTTTAGTTGATATTTGGGTTTGATATCCCAATTCCCAAGTACTTGTGTCTGAACTGTTTGTTGAATACTTGAGTTTGACAACCTATGGACTTGTGCACCTGTGCAGCTCAATTGAAAGAGGCGATTCTTAATGGTGTCTCTCTCGAAGATGATAAAAAAGTCCAATTTAACAAATTTAAACAGGTATGCTTTCTTGCTTAGCAATATGATTGAGGAAGCATTGCATGTTCTAATTTGAACATTCTTTATGTCTATCATACTTTCAGAATAAATTCCTCATTGCATTACTTATTTCCTGTGATGTTAGGTTTTTCCATTTTTACATTTTCTATGACATATTCACATAATTGAAGTTGTTGCTCATGCAATCCATCACAAAACACATTGGCAACTTGGCAAGTGTGTGGGGTGTTTACTATTAATTGGAAAAAGACAGGGAATTAGGGATTAAGCAAAGAAATCCTCATTTTTATTAGCTTATTGATGGATGGGAAACTCTAGCACATGGATGTCTATGGTGACACGTGTCGTATTTCAAAGTAATTTGTCAGTCAAATCATAGAGGCCTTCAGTTCAACTCTTTGCAAAATTATGCAATCTTCTATATAATGTTTGGAAACCCTATTAAGAGAAGGGAGGTCAGATGGGTGTGGGTTAAACATGATTATTAATTTGCAATCCAGACCTGCATCTCTCTTCCTCTTGTTCTTCCTCTTTCAAGGAAAATGATATCTGTTGTTTTTTGGATAAGCTCTTATGATTTCAAATAATTACTTTGATAAAATAAAAGTTGTTGGCAATATGATCTTGTCTTCTGCATAGTTCTTGGCTGCATGTTTACTTGCCTTTTTACCATGAGCTGATTTGCAGGAGTTGGCTAGACTATCTCAAAAATTTGAGGAGAATGTTTTGGATGCCACAAAGAAGTTTGAAAAATTAATAACAGATAAGAAGGAGATTGAAGGTATGCCAGCTTCTGCTCTAGGATTGGCTGCACAAACAGCTGTATCGAAGGTATTGGATATTGATATGTAACAACATGTTTCTTGTTACTGCTCTGGTTCATTTGGTTTTCTGTCCTGTCTATGATTTCTTCATGTGTCTCTATCAACTACTCTAGGGACATGAAAACGCTACAGCTGAAAATGGGCCATGGGTGATTACTTTGGATGCGCCAAGTTTCATGGCTGTGATGCAACATGCTCGAAACCGAGCTTTGCGTGAGGAAGTCTATCGTGCTTATGTATCCCGTGCTTCTAGTGGAAATCTAGACAATACTGCAATTATTGACCAAACTTTGAAGCTTAGGTTGGAAAAAGCTAAGCTTCTTGGCTACAATAATTATGCTGAGGTATGACTCATTATTTTCAAATACATGCTTCTTTTTCATAGGCTTATTGTGGTATTATCAGGTAAGCATGGCTACCAAAATGGCAACTGTTGATAAAGCAGAAGAGCTCCTAGAAAAGCTTCGAAGTGCTTCTTGGAATTCTGCAGTCCAAGGTATGCTGTTCGGTAGAATTTCATGATGAATTACTTAGTACATCCTCCTAAATAAACCTAATAAGTGGCCAGAGAAAAAAGGAGAGTTGAATGGCACTCATGTGATGTTTGAAGCTTTAAAATGTGTTTTCTAGTAGGATTTCATTCCCTCCAGTGACTAATATTTTGATTTTTTTTAGAATATACTTCAATATTTTAACATTTAAGAACAACACAAACTTCCCCGAATTATTAAATGAGTCAAATATTCAAATATGTGATGAAACCTAATTTACTCAACATTCTTTAAGTTCACTGCTAGTTTATGCATGATTATGTTGCATTTCTTGTTATTGCAAACTGTAGAATAGGGTTTACACTGTAATCATTTAGTCACAGTGCTTGTGGGAGTACAAACATGGAAACAGAGCTTGTCTTAGTTTAGCCCTGCTATGTTTACTATTGTTCTGGAGTGGACTCAGAGTTTCCTTACTGTAATTTATCTGAAGCGTTTTATTTTTTATTTTTTGAACATAGCTGGTAATTCTTCTTTTCTGATACAATTGTTTTTAAGCATTAATTCATTAAGTTGGGTAGACACTTTTGGAGCCTGATCTTTTGCTATATGTTTTTGTAGATATGGAAGACCTCAAACACTTCTGCCAAACTCAAGGTGCCCCTGAATCTAATGATTTGAAGCATTGGGACATCAACTTTTGGAGTGAGAGGCTTCGTGAATCAAAGTTTGAAATAAATGAGGTTGGGTCTCTCTATCTCTTAGATTCTATATTATTTTGAAATTTGAGCCACAATTTTGATGTGTGACACATGCTCTAGTTTGATGTGTTATTATAATTCATTTATTTTTTCCTTTTAATACAACCATTAAAGGAGAAGAGAAATCTTTGTATTTTTTGGTCCAACACGTGTTCTTCGATGAAATCCTCATAAACTGTGAAGACCATGCTATATCACTATGCCAGCATGTTGGTCTTCTGTGCTTGACTTCCATTTTGTTCCTTAGTTCCTTTTGAAGATGCGGTTTCTCTTATGTTCCGTTTTGGTAGCAGTTTTCATTTTGAATCTCAACTTTGTGTATTACTTTTATTTGTGGGTTTTAACTTGTAACTTTTTGCTATGTTCGACTTTTGTGTAGCTATTGGATGGCCTTGTTATAATTTGTTACTGGATTTGAAATTTTAGCTTTATTTGCGTAAATGTTGTGTATGTTTTTCCTCCTCCTTGCATCTATAAGAGCTCTGAGTGCAACTTATGATTTTCTGGTTAAATTATACAGGAAGAATTACGCCCGTATTTCTCATTGCCAAAAGTCATGGGTGGCCTTTTCATCCTCGCAAAGATGCTTTTTGGGATTGTTGTCGAACTAGCTGATGGGTTAGCTCCGGTAATTTGTTTCAGTTTCTTTCTTTATCTTTGTTGGTGCTTATAATATAGGAGATGGTTTCGTGTTCTGATTTGATAATTGTATTACCTTCTAGGTTTGGAACAAGGATGTGAGATTCTACTGTGTGAAAGATTCTTCAAGCAGTCCGATCGCATACTTCTATTTTGATCCATTTTCTCGTCCATCTGAAAAACGTGGAGGTGCTTGGATGGATGAGGTTGTTGGTCGAAGTCGTGTATTTTCACTAGATGGTACCTCTCCTAGGTTGCCTGTTGCTCAGATGGTGTGCAATCAAATGCCACCAGTAGGAAACAAACCAAGCCTAATGACATTCCGTGAGGTAAGCATGTTAGCTCTGAAATTTTGTTTTTGTTTTTTAAACTGACTAGTGTGGAAACGATTTGGAGTAGCAAGCAACAGCTTGAACTGTTTTGCACAAGGCTTCTCCAGGGCCCTAATTTTGGGGTTGTTTAAGAGTGGACAAAATTATTACATTTAATTTAATTTGTGACTTGAATCTGAAGTTTCTAACTCCTGATTGTCTCAATATTGTTTGATTGGCCAAAAGCAGTTTCAATATAGCAAGGCAGTATTTATTTACAATCATAGTTTGGTCATTAGAACAAGCAAGAAGTGGTAGGATCTGATCGCTTGGCCACCTTGTTGAAGAAAATAGGTCTGGGGCTAACCGATTTTGTAAATTGAACATACTCCAGTCATGCGATTAAGCCTGGATTAAAAAAGGTTCCGTTTCCCTTAGACTTTCAAACCTAACCCAACCGAATTGAGCTAAAAGTGGCTATCATTTTCTAAGTATTAGTGCCGTTAATATTTTATTGTATCACCCTAAAATATTGCAGTCATGTCTGTTTTTGAATACTGCATCCTGGAAAATGCCTTCTACTAATATCAATTGTTCACCATTGTATTCACCAATGTGCTATGTCAGAACCTGTGTAGTTTGAAATGAAACCCATTTCAACTCCAGACTAGATGACCCTAAAAATTAAAAAAAATTGAACAAAATTTGAAAAAAAAAAAAAAATGCTTAGGAAGACAATAAAAATTAATTTTCTTGGTCTTTTGACTTCCCCTCTGCCTCCCTCTTTGGTGAACTTATTTCAAATTTGGTTCATTTTTTTTTCTTTGAATTTTTAGGGTCTTCTAGTCTAGAAGGACATAAAAAGTTTAAAAAAAATTTGATGTTTTTTTTAAAGTACACTGAAAACAAAAAGGTGGCTAAAAAAGCTTTTGCCAAACTGTGTTGTATATATGTACCCCAAAAAGCTTGGTTATTGTTCATTATTTTCTCCGGTAAACCAACAGATTTAGTCCGTGTCAGAATCGGAATGGCCTTCGTTGGAGGACAATGCCAGACATCAACATTATCATTAGTATATTTTTTAGATAACACAACAATAGAGGGGGCCCTCATTTGCGAATCTTCTGGCATGTCACTCGTGGAATACTTCAGATACCGTTTCATTTTACAATACGTAACCCCCCTTTTAATATTGGAATTTTCAAGTCGATACTTCACCATCCATGGCACCTGTTTGTCGTTAATTGAACAATAACCATTCTCATAGTAGACTAACTCGGATTGACAATCTACTGGGAAAATAAACCATGCCTGCAAACTGTCATTACCGTCTAACTCTCTCTGCTAGGCTTCTTGGAAGGACACCATTGCACTTTTTTAACCTGAATAGAATCTTGAAAACTTCTGCCTTTTTTTACAATATTGCTTTAATGTTTTATTTTTTAAATTGCTGATGTTATTTGCAGGTTGAGACAGTCTTCCATGAGTTTGGTCATGCACTACAGCATATGCTGACGAAGCAGGATGAGGGTCTGGTTGCTGGTATTCGAGGCATAGAGTGGGATGCTGTTGAATTACCCTCTCAATTCATGGAAAATTGGTGTTATCATAGGTAATGCTCCTTCACTGCAATGTTAAATAATTTTTTTAGTTGTCTTTTTCTGTTATTTCTTGTATTGAAATTTAGTTACAGTGCTTAGACAAAAATGTAAATGCTAGCCTTCATGAAACTTACAGAATCATTTACTAATTCTAAATTGACAAACTTCAAACTAGTGTGTTGGTGGTGGTTTACTTTCAACCGCCTTCTCTTTCAGTAAGACCTGTTTGTAAAACTTGCAAGTGATAATAGCAATACTTTCAAAGTATGAAAAAGCTGTGCGTTTGAAGCCCACATTTTATATTTTCTGGGAAACTCCTCTCTCTCTCTCTCTCTCTCTCTCTCTCTATCTCTATAGGATGGACAGACAAATTCATCCTTAAAATCTTTTATCAAGTTTGTTATAAAAATAAGGTATAATAAGTTGATGTCAAGTCCTGAAGATGTAGGAATGTGTGTTCTCTTACTCCTGTTTTTCAAATACAGTGCCTCAAATGTATGATTTATTATTTAGTAATATTATTAAATTTTCCTACCAACTGCTGCAGGGATACTTTGATGAGCATAGCAAAGCACTATGAAACTGGGGAGTGTCTTCCTGAAGACATATATAGGAAGCTCCTTGCAGCTCGAACTTTTCGTGCAGGCTCCCTAAGTCTTCGTCAGGTCAGTGCAACATGTTGCTTTAGTATTTTTCCTTTTTCTCTCTATATTGCAAATTTGTTGTATTATCCTTGAATCACTAATATGATTTCAATATTAAGTTTGAATTTTATGTAGGCATGAGTTTTATTTTACCTGTCTCCATGTGATGATGATATACAAAGGTTACACAAGTTTACAGAAAAGGAGTTATTTTGCTAAATAAAGTTTATTTGTCTGCTATTTCTTTGTTCTAGTGAAGTGTTTCTATTGAATTGGTTGTGTCTGTGGAGACACGGTATTTGGTTACATGGTAGAAATTATATTTCTTTGTCATCCTATTGTTTTTTTGTAGTTGAGATTTGCATGTGTTGATCTGGAGCTGCATAGCAAGTATGTTCCTGGTGGATCAGAATCAATCTATGATATTGATCAGAGGGTTAGTAAAAGAACACAAGTGATCCCTCCAATACCAGAGGACAAGTTTCTTTGCAGTTTTAGCCATATATTTGCAGGTTTGCTCTTCCTTCTAACTTAATTTTGTGCCTGTCAGCAATATATCTAATTCTTTTGCTGCTAGCTGCTTATGATATTTCACTGTTCATTTTATTTTTGTGACTTATTGCTCCTCTGTGGTGTGGGTGTTCTTTGTTATCAGGTGGATACGCTGTTGGATACTATAGTTACAAGGTATTTGTTTCTTAATTGTCTTACATCTAACTTTGTTTTTTTCTTGGGTTGCTTTTTTTCTTGGCCAGATATTTTTGTTTACTTAGTTATTGTTCACGCTCTTTTCTCTCTTTATTTTTTTCACTTTGCATAGTCACTCTTTCAATTTGGTTTATATTTGTTGTTTGTTAAGAAACGTTTACTAAAACCTGGTTTGTGCTTGCTCACTGAGATAGAAATTGTTTTACCATGTGCCCTCTCTTTGACTAAGATATACGGTGAGTTGAAGCTTTATTTTGTTTATATTATATTTTTATAGCTAATATTCAAATTTTGCAGTGGCAGAGGTATTGTCTGCAGATGTTTTCTCTGCATTTGAGGATGCTGGACTAAATGATGATAAGGTATGATGGGTGAGGCTGTTCAAAGTATTGCATTACATTTTAACTCTTTTTTTTTTTCTTTTTCTTTTCTCAAATAAATCCCTTTACATTTTTATCTGAATTCCTGTGGTATGAAAGCATATTTCTTAAGATTTTGTTAACTGGTACCCTAAGAGCACTTCTTAAGCAGCTTGAAATGGTTGTACATTTTTTTAAAAAATATTTTATAATATAGAAGTATGTATTATGAAATATGTACAATCATTTTAAGCTTTGTTAACTAATTTCCTTGGGGCACTTGTAACAATATCCTATTTCATATATGATTTATTGAGGGCACATTCCGTATCTTGCAACAGGCTGTCAAAGAAACTGGGCACAGGTTCCGGGAGACTATACTTGCTCTTGGAGGTGGAAAAGCACCACTAGAGGTTTGATATGAAGATTTCACATTTTTCTTTATAAACTTCTTCTATATTTTCTTTATGAAGTTCTTAACTGGTGCTGCTCTGAGTAAAAGCACAGCGTAATTCAAGATCCAAACATAGTCTTAATTTTCTAATTGCCACCAAACTCCCTTGTTTCCCAGCTTTTAATACTTTATTTCCCAAATTATATTTCCAGGTTTTTGTGGAATTCCGAGGGCGTGAACCTTCTCCAGAGGCACTGCTGAGGCACAATGGGCTATTGCCAGTTTCAGCCTCTGCTTGAAATGTGAATGATGAATTTCTAGAAGTTTAAGAGGGGCCCTGAAAGAAGATGATGATTTCAACCTCTCGAGTAATATTTATGTCATGGTTCACTTCATATAAGACTCTATTAGAATCTAAATGCCTTCATCCATGATTAAGGGATGTTTTGTGCAATTAGTGGACAAAATAAACTTTCTTTCTGACTTGTTTCATTTTTTAATAATTTGTAGTATGCCTACTGTAAATTGTTCAAAGCATTGGCATCACATTAGCCAACAAGAGTTTCAATATTTACTTTTCAAGGCGAAGTTATGATTATCTCATCTACATCTTGGATTTAGGGATGGAAATTGAAACAAATTTTTGTTGTGTCTTGGTGACACTGTCGTTATGTCATTATGCACTCTCTAACACCTTCACCTAGTTATCATTTAGTTGTTTATTCAAAAACTATAATTAAGTGGTGTTTTGAGAAGTTGATAAATAGTTAGTTTTTTAATTTTTTAAAATTTATTTTATCTTTTTGTGAGTAAAAAATATGAGAGGTGATGTGATTCAAAACAGGTGAAAAGTTATAAGTTGGTTTTTTTTTGGTTTTTCAAAAGACGTCTAAGTAGTTAGTCATCATTATTAATTGTGACTTTTGAATCAACTAATGGATGAATAAAGTACCGGAGAAGATTCTCTTTCTATATATATATGTACCAGCACAGTAAGTGCATTCAGGGGTCTTTTGGGAAGTTAAAAAAAAAAAAAGTCAGCTTTTAGTTTTTTATGGGTGCCTCTATGTACATATCACATTTTGTTTCAAGATACACTATTAATTGGTTATTTTTTATTACAATAATGACCTTACATAAAATGACCAAAATAATTACAAAAGAATGTCAATACACCCTTTACCCACCACCACTTTCCGCCGCCTGATTTTACCTCCGGCCACCATCATTGACACCCAGCCACCATCGCAACCCCCATAGCCTCCCTACCTTGCTGACGACCCTTTTCCCCTATGCAAACCCTTCTCCCTCCAGAGAGAGAGAGAGAGAGATTGCGTTTGGTAGAGTTTTCTAACTTTGATTTGAGAATATGAGTTGTATTTTGAGTTTATGCATTTTGGAATTATGATTTGAGTGTAGAAAATTTGTTTGATGAATAAGTTTTGAAACGAGCTTTGAATTGAGTGGAGAATTTTTGATGTGACATATGATATCTGATACAAAAATTTACAACTCATAACCAAATATACAACTTAAAAATCTATTAAAACCTCATAATTTTTTTTTAAAAATTCCAAAAATATTGTTTTATTAAAAATATAAAAAAAACACACAAGTGCAAAAAAAAAAAAAATGCACTGTAGAGGTCAACCAGCCGGACATCCGATAGGCCAAATTTCAAAATTTAAAAGCCCGTTTGGAACGAGTTTTCAAAACAAGAGGTGGAATTAACTTTTCAAAACTTAAACCAAACATCATACTAGAGTATAAAGGTGGAACTATAATTCCAAAACACTTCCAAACACAGCCAAAGAGAATCCTAGGGTTTTCAGATCTAGATCTAGGGCTTGCAGGAGTTCAATCGTGCAAGCCAGATTCAAAGCTTCGATCTAGGATTTCAAGCTCTGATTTTGAAGCTTTGCCGCTGCAGTTGTCTTTGACGAGAAGCTCCTCTCCGATGGGTTGGGGAAGATCTTTATAGAGGGAGGGTTGCGGTGGTGAGGGTAGGTGTAGACACCCCATTTTTGACCGACCTTAAGACTTAGACGTCACCAGTTGAGCGCTCGGTGATGTTGCATATTGTGTTTGTTCTGAGATTTCAGAGTCTCGGTTGCGAGCCTTGCCTCCGGACTTCGGGGCTCTTTTTGTGCCTTGCCTCGGTTTGCGAACTGGGTCCTATTTTCTCTGTTTTCTCTTCCCGAAGGGGGGGAGAGGTCTCGTAGACCATCTCTCAGTGGCCGTAGGCTACGTTTCGTGGTCGTAGGCCATTTTTCCCATTTGGAGCCCAGTTTTTGGTTTTCGGAGCTGTCAGCCGTGTGCCTCGGTTCGGGACCGCTTAACTACCTCCGTTTGCTCCGGTTGTTGGCACACATCTTATTTCCTCCCTTTAGAGGGACACTGTGGCCCGGGAGACCCCTTTCGTGGTCATACGCCACTTCCGGTGCCTAACAGCCTGCTTTCGGGGCCCCGAACCGCGCGTTTTGGCCCCCGAACCTTCGTTTTGCATCCATTTTGGTCCATTTTTGGTAGAGACCCTATTTTCATTGTTGGGAAGGTGGTAGGATGGTGGCCGGCCACATTTTCTCCTGTAAAACCAATTTTCTCATTTTCTCTCTCCAAAAGCCGATTTTTCTGACAGAAAACTGGTTTTTCTCACTTTTGAGCCACATTTTCTGGCTTTTCATACCATCATTGTGATCTACTCATCTGGGAGGCCACTAATATGGTAGGCCGACCAATTTTCTCTTCTTGACCCTTTTGAACCTTGCTTGAAAGCTAGCTTTTCTCTCTCCCAGGTCACTTTTTCTGATTTTTCACTTCATAGCTGTGTTGTGCTCATCTGGGAGGCCACCTTTCTGGGGTGGCCGGCCAGAAAATTTTGTTGACCCTTTTGACCCCTGGTCAGCCGACCAGGGGGGGTGGCTGGCCGGCCATTTGAATTGGCCGGCCTGCTTCTTGCTTTTTGCTTTTTCTGAGTGTAGTCCAGCTGTGCCAGCTGGAGACCATTTGGTGTATCCTCCATACACGTGTATGGAGGATACTTGGGACCTTTTTGGATATTTTGGAGTAGAGAAGAGGCTTGGCTTCATATCTAAAGGTTGAACATTTTTGCTTAAGGCATATAACCTCCCTTCTCCATTGTCACTACTTCAAGCTCCAAAACCCTAATTTTCTTGGTCCATTTGCACTACAACCCTTAGCATCACACCTCCATCATCCATTCCAGCACCTTGGAAGTCATTTGCAGAGGTTGAAAGCTCACCAACTTGGTCCAAAAGCTGCTGGAGGTCGGCTCTTCAAGGGTAAGTGTCTATTTCCCTTAAACTTGCATTTTTTTGCTTCATTACTTAAGTGTCTATTTCCCTTAAACTTGTATTTTTTTGCTTCATTACTTAGCTTCACTTGCAAGTATTTCTGGGCTTTGTCATAAACTAAAAAATGTCATATTTTGAGCTTCTCTTCAACTTTGTTTAAGGGCACTTTGCTGTTTGAGGTCATCTACTTCCCCTTACCCTCTATATCTCTTTTAGGGCTATTTTTGCATCATACTTTATCCTTACTTGTGAACATTTTTGAGATTTGTTATAAACTGGAAAAAGCCTTGTTTTGACCTCCTCTTTAAGTTTTCTTGAAGTCACTTTTCTGTTTGGAGTCATCTCCTTCCTTGCATGCTTCATTCCTTCATATTTAGGGCTATGCATTAGAGCATTTGCATTGGACTTGTTTTGGCCTCTTAGCCACTGAAATCCAGGGGATTTTCAGTGGCTTTGATGAGGTTTTGAGCTTTGAAATCATAGAGGGGTGACCCTCTCACCCCTCATTTTTTGTACTAGCATCATTGGCTTTCCAAAGGGGCTCTATTTTGCATGCATTGAAGGCACTTTTTGGGCCCAATTTTGTGGGTTTTAAGGTCTGCCTTAGGTCTGTCCGGGGCCCTTTTGATCATATTTTATGTCTATAGTGCATGTGTAGAACAATTCCATTCAAGGCCTTTTGAGGGGGCCTTTCATCGTATGCTTCCTTGACTGATTTCAGGGCCAATTTTGTGAGTTTTTGGGCTGTCATAACTCATTCCCAAAGTTGGTTTGGTCATGCTAAGTGTCTATCTTATATGTGCTTAACAACCCCTTGTACGGCCCTCCAAAGAAGCCCCTCATTTTTGCATGCATTGGCTGTATTTCAGTGATTATTTGGGCATATTTTGGCATGTTTTATTCACTGTTTTTAGCTAATTTGATGAGTTCTCATTTGCTTCATATACATGCCACGTTGTAACTTATACTTACTAGCCAATGTTGCATGCTATTTTAGTCCATCATGTTAGCATCTTTTGGCCATGCTTTAAATTGGAAATGTACATGTTTTGGGACTGCCTTGGCTCTGTCTTTAGACTTCATGATCAAATAATGCTTGCTTTGTATACTTGTGGTTCAATGCATTGGACTAGTTTTGAGTTTCGGGGCTTATTCCATGCATCGGGTGCCATATTTCCATGTTTCGGGATCATTTAGCATTATGTTTTAGTGCTGAAAATTACATGTTCATAGGCCATCTTTTCATCCCCTGCCATGCTTTGGTAGAGTGGCATTTAATGCCTTAGGTTCAGTCATCGACATGCGTGTATGTGTGCACGCATTTCGGTTGTTTCATTTTCATCTAATGGCCACTGATGTGAGTGTGGCTGAGGTCCACTCATGTTGGTGTAAGTCCATTATGCATTGTGTATGCCTTTTCAATTCATAGCATTGCGTATGCTAGGTTACCTGTTAGAGCTTTGTGTATGCCATGTTACATCGAGCATTGTGTATGCCATTTCATAGCATTACGTATGCTAGGTTGTATGTTGGTCGCATTGTGTATGCCATCTCATTTGCATTGTGTTTGGGATAGGGGTTAGTCCGAGCACGAGAAACGAGGGACGTTTCGTACTCCGAGTGACGGAACGTGTCTCAATTCCCTATTGTCGACACTCTGGATCACCCATGATGGAGTTTAGGTCTTGTTGTGTTTTCATGTGCATTCATCTCATATTGAGTCATGCAATTCGGCTCCTCGGTCATCATGCATCGATATGCGTGATTGGTGGCACGAGGATCGAGGACTACACTCCCTGAAGAGTAGTCATGCACATACATATGTGAAATACTTTGCCATGCCCCTTTGTTGCTCTCTATTGCAGTAAATCAGAAATCAGCGGCCTTCTGGAGCGTTGCGCAATATTTCGAAAACAATTGCAAATAGAGGCAAATCGGGGCATCGTAATGGATTTCTACGCAAGGCAACTCGAGCATGCATCATTAATCATTTGGAACAGAGCTGAAGCGATCTATGGATTTACGTGCCAATTTACCTGTTTTCCTAGATTAATTTGTTAATTAATTAGGGTTTTGTATTTATTCAGACTGTACTATTCATTCGGACTGTATTATTCTTTCGGACCCTCCGAGCGAGGGTAATGTTGTAATAAGTGTGCGTGAGTGTGATGTATGTCTTCCAACCCCACGTCTTTTTTCCTTTTATTTACCAGCTTATGATGGTTAGATTAGGGCATATTTCAATTAGCATACAGTATGATAGCATGTTTGCATCATTCATCTGTTTTACATG